CTGGGCTGTTGCAACCCACATCCATTGCATTGTTGGTACGCGGAACTCATCAAACCGCGCACAGCTGGTGGTTGTTTGCCTCGCACTCGTCGTGGTGGTTGTGGTAATGGTGGTAAAGGCCATGGAAGATCTGCTGCATGTTCTTCCATCTCTTGTAGTTCCACCTCCATTGTACCATCCACCAATCTTTGCATGTCCTCAAACTCCAAGTCCTCCCCCGGTCCCGGTGCATCATCTTCAAGGATACTCGGTTCATACCCAGGGCTTTCGGGAAGTTGCTCATGAAGTTGTTCTCCATCTGGTTGTTGACCATCATCTGGTAGTGGAGCTTGTCCAGGGTTGAGATCTTGAAGATTACCCATCTCAGCTGACTTGGTTGGCACCGACACCACTGTAGTGCGAAAACCATTGCCACGTTCATCCACCACCCAGTACCCGCCTGATGTTGGTGACATGTCCGCCGAAGGGCCAAGAATCCTCACACGTTGCTTCGGATACTTCAGAGGAACGCCTCTGTTGGCCCATGTCTTTTTGCGAACCACACCCCAAACACCAAATGGTAGTAGAGCTGGTAGCTGAAGTCCAAGCACTGAGAGTTGTCTTCGGCATCTTTGTTCTGCTGCTTGTCTCAACGCTAATGGCCAGAAACTCACATCCAAGCCTGATGACTGCAGCAACGTTCTTGTCACATTCTTGAGAATTTGGATCTCGATCTCTGCAGTGGAGTTCTGAGTGGGTTCATCTCCTGGAGAAACTCGAACTTCCAGATTTCTTGCTGATGCCCATGTTCGAAATCGTTGTGACACAAGTTCTTTGGCGCGGTCAACTCTCACCCTGTAGATTGGCACCTGAAGAGCTCGAAACCTGGTGTAGAGAGAAGCCACTGCATTGATTATTGTTGTTTCACGTCGATCACTCACAGGAACAGCAAAGGTGATGGGTTTGACATTGACATCCTGAAGTTCTGCCATCTTATTTTGAAACGCCTGCTTTGCCACGTCCTCCGCATTCACATCCACCTCTGGCGGATTCTTCTCCAAAACTTGCAAAGGAACTTCAGGCAATGGACATGACTCCAGTTGTTTGACAAGCTCATCATCCTGAGCTCCCCCGTCTCTGCAATCTTGTACATGAACATCACCACGTTGAACTCCATTTTGAGGAACTTCAACAACTTCAACTTGTGCTCCCCCCTTCGAGGAATCTGGAGCTCCCCCCTTCGAGGGATCTGAGGCTTGAACATCATACTTCTCCTCCACCTTCTTGGGACGGCCCGGTCCACGAATCACATCCTCCACCTCCTTGAACGGATCTGGGTCCAGAGTCACCTCCGGAAGCAAAGCCTCAAGGTCAGGAAAACCTTCTGGCCGTGGTTTCGGCTTCCAACCCTCCACCAACGCACCAATCTCTGCTAACCATGGGACCTTGACAGTGGCCACCATGAAGTATCTTGCTTTTGCTCTTCCTTGGTCTGGTGCTCGTTCAAAAGGTCCTGCCAAATCCACACTCATCTCATAAGTGGATTGAAACTTCTGCCTCCGCCTTGGTCGATCTCGCCCTGCTCCAACTTGACATTGAAGACAATCCTTCCTGTAAGGAATGTGATCCGACATGAGGTGCAAGTACCATGATTCCTCCTCCGTCAGGTTCAACGCTCGCAGTTGTGGTAGTGGAATTGCGTGGATCTCCTTGATCATCAGGTCCTTCAAAGTTGGAGCCCATGCTGCTGTTGACTTGGACAACTCCATAGCCCTTGACAAACTGTCTGGCCATGCTGCATACTTGGTGTCATCCTTCAGGCCATCCAGCGCCTTGATGACTTCCATATTGCTCCACAAACATGTTGGTTTTCGTCGTTGATGTCCAAGAGCTCCTTGATCCACTGTCAACCTTTTCAATCCCACCGCCTTTTCCAAAACTGACTTCACTTCGGGCCACACAGTGAAAGAGGCATATTCAACTTCGTCTTGCCTGTACGTCATTGGATCCTCTGGAGTCTCCACTACGGCCTTGACGTCAGGGTTGTAGAGCTTGGCCTCATACATCAAAAGCAGTGTTCTCAGCCAAAGCTGGCTGTCAGTGTCTGCCAACTGTTGCTCCATCATCGTGTTGGTATCCAGGCCAAACCTCTGTAAACCATGTCTCGATCTCACAGGCCGCGGTCCTCCATCAGACCGGTAACGTGCAGCTGATACTGTTCTGCACGGTGGGCCAGCAAGTACTGCAACCACTCGACCCGACCTCACAAACTGCAGTAAAAAGTGCCAAACTGTTGAATCCAAAAGATCTTGTCCTCGAAGTAGATCCACGTTCACCACTTCGATGTCGTGTGGCATTCTCTTTGACCACCACGCTTGATCTGGACCTGAAAACAAATTCAGCACAATGCCCTTGGCCTTCTTGAAGCGTCGCCGTTGATGGCGATTCCATGGCAATCGAGCCTCATCACCAGCTTTGCTCACCATAGGTTGCAACAACTCCACAGGTGTTTCAGGAAACAACTTGTTGAGCTTGTCGGCCATGTCCTTGTCTTCCTGCTTCCAACCTGTGACTTCCAAACTTCGCAACATTAACTGCTTGTTCTTCTCAGCAGTTTCCAGCTCTCGAATGAGCTTCATCCCCACATCATTGGTCACGTAGGGACAATTGTCACGAACTGTGACTTTCACTTCACCCAGCTTGCCATGTGTGAGAGCGCACCCATCGCGATGCCACCTCATCTTGCATCCATGCTGAGTCAACATTCCCAAAGGCACAATTGGCTGCAGATCATCCTTTGTCAACAACGATCTGCTCATCTTTGACATCCTCAGCTGTGTTTTTCCAGTCGCTGTTTGTACCTCTGTTGGGATCGCCTGCATCCACTCAGTCTCATCATAGGGTCCTCTAAGGATATGCGTGGCCCCTGAGTCCAATAGCACACCCTGATTGCTGTCAGTCACCACCGCCAACTTGAGTTCCTCCAGGTGTTGTTCTTGGTGACAGCGAGTAGTACTGAGGTCGGCGCGGTGGTGTCCTTGGTGGTTCCACGCTTGAACTCTTCTTCTTGAGCTCCTTCTGCAACTCCTCATTCTTCTTTTCAAACTCATCACGCTGGCGTTGCAAGTCCTCAGCATACTTCTTCATCTCTTCCTTTTGTTTCTCCATCTCAAGCTTCTGTCTGTGAAGCTCTTCAACCATTGATTGCTCCAAAGCCCGCTTGAGCTCATCACGCTCATCTCTTCCTTGTTGATTGACATCGTCCACAAAGGTAGTTGTGCTACAACCTTGTACTCCACCTTGTGGTTGCCGACTTGCCTCACGTGGCATCTGTCGTCTCATCTCATACTGTTGCACTCCCATTGGAACTCTTTCCAAGGGTGATCCATCATCTTGCCGATGACCTCGTCTTTGAGATTGATCTCGCAGACCACTTGGTACTGTTCGATGACCTTGAACTTGACGTCGTTCAGGTCCATAACCATGACTGACTCCTCGGTGGCGTCCAGTCTCTTGCACATTTCCTTCAGACCTTGAGGGTCCATGACGGCTGACTCCTCGATGGTGTCCCGCCTCTTGCACATTAACTTTAGACCTTGAGGGTCCACGGCTGACTCCTCGATGGTGTCCAGCCTCTTGCATGATGTCAGACCTTTGAACTGGTATCTCACCTCCCAGTCCTCCAGTCTTCCCACCTTGTCTTGCAACCCCATGAGATGGTATCTCACCTCCCATCCCATTGGGCCGCACCACTCTTCCTTGACCATGCCCCTTGCCAGAACATTGCACTTCTCCAGCAAGTAGCCCTGCTGCGACACCTCGATGGTGCCCAACTTGGTCAACACCTTGAGGGTGTTCATCTTGCTCGACACCTTGAGGGTGCCCATCACGTCCAACACCTTGAGGGTGTCCACATTGTTTGACACCTTGAGGGTGTCCAGCTTGTTGACCTTGTCCAGCATCTTGAGGATACTGTCGGCCCACACCTTGAGGGTGCACTTCACGGTGACCTTGTCCAGCATCTTGAGGATACTGAAGGTCTTGACCTTGTCCAGCATCTTGAGGATACTGTCGGTCCACACCTTGAGGGTGTACTTCACGGTGACCTTGTCCAGCATCTTGAGGATACCGAAGGTCTTGACCTTGTCCAGCATCTTGAGGATACTGTCGGTCCACACCTTGAGGGTGTACTGCATGTCGACCTTGTCCAACATCTTGAGGATGCCGAAGGTCTTCATCATCATTTGATGGCATAGCCCCTTGAGTCTGCAAGGCCACACCTCGTCTTGTACTCCAACTCGACGGAGCACTCATTCGTCCCATTGCCAGCGGCTCCAACTCTCGCGACGCGTCTGCATCTTCTATCTCCGGAAGGTCCTCCTTGACTGAGACCTCTTCCCTTGGCGTCCACATCGGCTGCTCCATGGCCAACTGACGTGCTTCTTGTAGGTGTTCTCGTTGAACCACCTCTGACCACCACGGATTCGGCTCGGTGCCTAAGTCCAACAGGTCAGTGCTCACATCCAGTTCTTGCCGTAGAGCCCCTCCATGTTCGCCTCGTAGTAGAGCTCGTCCTCCACCTTGACCATCACTGCCATTGGGTAGAGCTCTTTCATCTCCACGCCGAAGGTCTCTGCCGTCATGTCCAGCTCGGTCTCTTCCATGCCCTTCTTGGCCTTCTTGATCCAGCCGTAGAGCACGAGGTCCACTTCCACCACGTGGCACCGAACACGACCTAGTCCACGACATGGCAGGCGCCCCTCAGCTGAGCGTTGGGCTCATAACCTGTGTTAGGCAGAGCAGCGCGACTTTTGATCCATTAAGAGCCTGCGCAATCACAGGCAGTTGTTGCACTGATAAGAACAGATACTTCACCTGTCCAGCAGTGATAAGAACTGATACTACATCTGTCCAGTTGTACATGCATGCACATGAACCCTTTTGCACTATGTATACATATAACAATTATACATTTACATATACCGTATGTATGTGTATACATATATACTCATATATATATATATACATACAATAGTATGTATATTAATCTAGCAACCAAACCATCAAGAGCAAGGACCATTCTACCGGGCCATTGGCCAAGGACTTGCCTGTTTGCCCTGGCCGGGCCGTGCGAAGGCAGCGATGAGACGTGCCCCGGGGACCCCGATCAGCGGTACTTCACAAAGCCGATCTCCTCAGCCTTCTCACGGAACTCCTCCGCTGAGGTTTTCCAAATTGGATCCAGAAAAAAATTAGGTGTGGATCCAAAGAAATGGGGGATGGGCCCCAAAAATTACACAAAAAAAACATACGATTTTTGGTATAACCCATTCTGAATCCGTCAAAATTTGCCAGTTTGGGATCTGAAAACATCCAATTTTGCAGGGAAGATCATCTATGGTTTGATGGAGTTGTTCGTGGTATCCGGATTCATGCTGGTCATATTCGAATTCCTCTTGCCCCAACTGGTGGTCATGGTGGTCCTTCACTCCAGTTCAAACTGCCCTCACAACTCAGATTCTCTTCACATTTTTGGGCACACCAACCTTCCCCACCTTCCCAACCTTCCCCACCTGTCGCTTCATCATGATGCCATACTTCCGAATCAGCGCCATGCCCCCTGGGCGCCCAGAGACGCGACTGGCGCGCAAGCCCTTGGAGCCGGGCAAGCCGCGCACGGGGGCACTGAAGGGGTTCTTCTGAGGCTGGGCGCCGTGACCACCACGAGGACCGCCACCGGTGCCACCAACACCGCCCAACATGGCCACGTGGCCTGCAGTGAAGAAGACCTGGATGGGCGAATCACCTGCCAGGCGCCAGGCACCAGAAATGGAGATGTGATGGGGCAGTTGAAGACAAGTATATTCTATATTATATATATACATATATATATATATACTGAGCTACATTCCTAGCACAGATAATGATAGATAATGAATTATAATGATAGGTATACAGATATACAGATATGTGATATGTGATATACACCTGAAGTCTACATAGTCTTTTGAAGCATGTCGAAGCATCATCCATCCCAGATCGCACATGCCGCTTCTCGGTGGCCTTTGTAGCTCTCCAAGGTGTCCCAATCCTTGAGCTGTCGGCTGTTGTAGATCAGACGCATGTGCTCCGGCTCAATGTTGCATTCCTCCTGCGCCATCTTCTTCACATCTCGGACCTTCACGTCCTTCTCCAACTCCAACTGGAAATTCTTCAAGCCAGCCACCTGAAAAAGGTGAAAAAAAAATATGTGTATGGGCCAGGGAACTGATCCTGTTAAAGCCCGAAATAGCTGGTAGTTCTGGATGTTCATCCCCTATTAACTTCAACCCATCCCCAACTGTGAAGGACCTCGACACCTGCAAATCCTGAGAGAAATGACATGTTGAAACCTCCCAGTTTTCGCCTTTTCGACCCCACCTTGAATTCAACCATCATGGTTTCCACTGGAACTGGCTCCTTGAGGGTCAACTCGCTCATGGCTTCCACCAACGCTGCCATATGGGAAGACCTTCCAGCGATGTTGGCTGATGATCTGGGCAAAGAAAGGATCCCTGGCAATGGTTCCTTCAAGCCAAGATTGATAGTCCCTTGGCTTTTTTTCCTGGGAGTTCGTTCAAATACCAATCAATTCCTATCGAATTGGGGGTCATAGGCGGCATATCCAGCCAATCAACCAGCTCTGATTCAGCTTCATCGGGCTTGGCACTAGTCTCCACTCCATCCCGGTGTCAAAAAGGCTCAATTCAACAATGGATGTCTAGCAGCCACCAGCATAGCTGCCAACTGCAATTCAACAATACTCAATGTACCAGTTGCTCACTTCCAATCAAACATCTCAGAAGCCGCCCATGATATCCGCCCTCTGAGGTCACCACGGACGTTTGGACAAAGCAGCAATGGATCAAATCCCGATGTGGGACGCTTGAGCTAATCGCGGCAAAACAACACCTGAACATCTCATGAGGATCTGTCCAGTGCCTATCCAGATGTCCATGGGATCCTTTTTCCCCTGGGGCTGATGAAAAAGGGGTCCCATTTCCCTCCAGTTGATCAAGCGTGGCTCGAAAATTTCCCCTGTTTAAGGGCAAAATGGTTTATATATGTTTATATACTGAAAAAGAATAAACTGGAATCGTCCCTTGCCAGGTTAGATTGCCAGAGTGGTCAATCCATAGCATAGTTGGAGCAACCTCCAGCGGCTGACCCAAGCTTCTGGCCGGCCGAGCACCTGACACGGCGGTTTCAGCTGCATTCGAATTCAACCATGGCGAATCTTAGACATGTGGCAAAAGATTTAGGTTGATCGTGTTGAGCTGGGTATATGGTATTGTTCATTTATTAGACCACTCGTCAAAGGTTTACCTATATTAATACATGATCCACACTGTAAGTGGTGCTCTGAGACTTTGCTAAGGCTCAGACTCTTCGCCAGGAGCTTCCCCGTTGGTGTCCATTGGGCGGACCAGGTAGCATCAAAACTTCACCCTCGACCATGGGAAGATCTGGCCAGGTACATCCATTCTTGCTGGAGTTTAAAGATGTAATGCTATATCATTGCGCGAGAGAAAGAGCTGCCTGTAAGTGCCTTTTGGTCTTTTGGTGATTTGTTGTAGTTGCCCTACCATCCTGTGAATGTGTTTTGTCTTCAGCAAAAGCTTGGAGCATCAAGGACAAAGCGGGTGCTCCACAACCTACGAACGAAAAGAACAATAACACAGTTGTTCTATGTTTATCATTGGAGGGCAAGTGTGACAACGTCTGACTACATCACGAAATAGACAAGCCACTGCAGCCACCAAAGTCACCTTTGAGCTAGAGTGTGAAAGCGTAGCAACTAAAAGAAGTATGTACAAAGGCGGCCACACTGCAGGGATACCCTCGCGTGCCCCCATGATTTTGTCAAAAGAATACAGGGCGAGCAAGCGCGCAGACTCATCGGTCGCGCTCAGGCTTCTGAAGGTTGTGAATCCTTTGCGCATTCGGGTCATAGCAGAGGGCAGACATATACAGATATATACAGTAATTTGTGCAACAAAGTTCAACGTTTCCACTTCCCTGATGTCTGGCAAGGACCCACCCTCGACCAGCCTCATAGCCCACGAAAAGGGTAGCACTTGGCGTCAATCCGGCATCTTGTAGAGTCCTAAGTGCTACCATCGGTACGACGGGATGGTGAGTGATCTCAGTGCAAAGGTCCATTAGGACCATCGCAGTCCGTCAAGAAACTCAGGAAGGAAACAACTGATTTCGTCCACGTCTGGCAACCGAATTCGAATTTGCAGTTGTTGCAATCCCTAAAATTCGGATACAATCCCAAGCATTACTGGAATCGCATGGGTGATGCCCTGTACTGGAGGTCAGTGTTGGTTGGATCCACATGTTTATGCATGGCTGTTGTTGACTGTATAGTATCATATTTGATGGTCAAGTAATGCTGACCATCAGCAAATTATAGTATTTGTTGAAAATTTGTTGTTTTTTTTATGGTTTGCTATTTATTGAACAATAGTTTGCGCTGACACTACTGGTGACCATCTCCCGGTTGAAGTCAGCACATCGCCATGTTTGCTGGTGAAAACCTCTTATGTTTGCTTGTTGTTGGTGACTAATAAACCCTCAATGAAGCCTTATTATTGGGGGTGTCACCGAAACCCGCGGGTCGTGGGTTAAATCCCCATTGGGGTCTATCCCATATTTCCCAGCATATTCCCATGATATTCCCATAAAGTAGCCCACTATCACCAACATACCAATAAATGGGAACATATCAAAAAAGGAAAATAACCCCACATCATCCCATATCTTATCAGATTTTCATATTTTATTATGTTTTATCATATTATATCATATGATATCAGAGTTTCATCGATCAGACGGTGAAATTCCCATGATATTCCCATGATATCCCTAGAGCTGAGACCAAGGTCCCGGCTGACTGCGGTCCTCAGATGCCAGGCTGGGTACCGGTCCAATCATGGAGGTGACCGGAAAATATGGAGGTTATACAGTTTATACCAGCAATATGGAGTATAAATACTGTATGGTTGTACAGTTTATTACAGTATCTGCAATGTATGTATATGTCTGTGTGCGTGTATGGACATGCACACATACATCATCACAGATTCAACTTTAAAGATAAACTTGGGACACAATTCAAAAATCATGGAAGACGACAGCCATGCATCGATATTCATCCCCAACTTTAGATCAGGCACCGTGTATGACTTCGGTGGAAAGGCAGTCCTGCGGCAGCGAAGATTCAGCTGCTTTAGAAGTTTCCCACCGACGCATGGGTATGTCGCCAAATGAAGCTGTTTTAATGGGTATCCTATCATGATAAAGCTTGGATTTGCTTGTTCTCAGTTTACAGGGCGCGTCTCATATCTAGAATGTGTGTATATTATATATATACACATACATACATACGTACATATGAAAAACGTGTTAGGTAGCTTTTAATTGATGGGGTATTCCGTTGCAGGACAAAAAAATGCCAGTTCCAAAATGCCTTCAGCGGCCTTTCACCGGTTAGTTCGCCCAGCTTTAAGACATCAAGCAGAGTACATTGCATTTATTCTGTAAGCATCATTATCTATATTTTGGGGAGGGGGTTGAACATCACCTATATGAATGGAGGATGAATAAAACAACATAAATTTCAAAAGGGAGGGTTGCAAGCACTATTTTAACAACCATTTCATGTGATGTTTAACCCCAAAAGCGTGACCCCTGTCGTGATGATTCCGCCTCAGTACGCAGCCGGTTCGTGCTCGTCCAACCCTGTTCTTGGACCGCCAATCTGCTAGAGCCTCCCTGCAAGGATGGAATGCGATCGGGATGGCATGGGCCAACATTGAACCTTCATAGATTTGGTGGATGAACCATCAAACGTGGTCATGTCACCTTAAAAAAGGACAAGATGAAAGAACGGGGTCATATACAACAGGCAATGAGAACGAATAAAAAGTGGGTAACAAACACAAACTTGGGTGGGTGAACGTGCTTATGTACAGCAATGTTTGGGTTGTTCTACAAACCTCTGACAGAGCACTGCTCTTTGGGAACCCACCCAAAATCATGGGAGAATCGCAAAGCCCTCCCGGGTCGCAGCCCCCGCACCAGAGGTCGCCCAGAGTGGTGTGGAACTCCGTCTTCAGCAGCACTTTCTGGCCCCCCTCCAACTTCACCTGCCGTTTGCCCGAAATGAAATGGTGGAAACACAAAAATATGGCCGCGTCGGAGGGAAACCACATGAGTACGTGTATATATGCATGTCTTATACGTATGTATATATATATAATTCCATAATATTATATATAATATCATATATATCTATATAATTATACATATTACAGTATGTATATATACATACATACATACATACATATAATACTGTATATTATATGTAGAATATTGTATTATATAATATTGTATGTATAATATTGTATATATAATATTGCATATATATATATATATACGTAGTAGATTATAGATCATAAAGTTCGGACTTGGGGCCGATGACGGGTGAAACTCATCAGGTCCTGGGTCAAAAATGCTGAAATCGGCCTGCAAGCGTGCCACGGGAGCATCTGCAGGTCGACCCAAGGCTAACAAGGACACCTCCTGGTTGCCTGGTGCAAAGGAGTGGACATCCTGTGCTGATCTTTTTGGGGACCAAATCATGGGTCTCAACTGGTTTCAACTGGTTTCAACCCCTTTTTGTTCGCTGCTTCTGTCCTCCTTGTGGTTAGAGTCCCTCTTCAAGACTCATTTGATCTGTTGCATGGGTTTGTCCAAATGAGGTACAACCCAAATTGCCATGTTATGCGGAAACACATTTCTAGACCATGGGATTTTGTGTTGTCCTAACATGTTCCAACAAATTTCCCATGAGATGGTTGATGTCGCACCATCTTGGTTGATATATATATATATGTATATATATATGTATATATATATGTATATATATGTATATATATATATTATAATTATATAAATACCTATAGCTATCATTCAAACCCCGGGAAAAGCATGGAAATATCTATGTACCCTCGAAGTCAACATAGCCATGAAACGGCACCTGGAGGTGAAGCTGATGCGCTGCGGCCATCGCTGACACCGAGCCTTCATTGATAGAAAGAGGAGAAACTCATCTGAAAGCACCAATGTGGTAGACCCAATGCCATAACCCTACGGTTTGGGGATGGTTTATACCACGGAAAAAATGGGGTACTTTGCGGATGTTATACAGGAGGGATTATAACATGTTATATATAACATATCACAAAATTATATGAATTAAACACATGTCGTTAATGTGTTTTTTGATAGGGGCACATGATGATCAAGGACTGGATGAGCGGCGGAGGCAAACCAACTCACAACATCACTAGCCGACGACCAAGCTAGCGGGAATCCACATCAAAAAACTAGCATTCCAGGGATGACCCGGAATGGATGAAATGTTGATTCTACATCATGAAATGGAATGGGCATCTTATATGGGATTGTTTCATGTCTTACATGGGATTAGCACGAAAATAATGAGTGTGAACAGGCTTGACAGCTTTCCAGTTTCATACGATTCGACGTCGGGGATTTTGTGTAGATGCGAAAAGGTAATTCACCGAGGTTTGAATGCAATGGCTGGCCATGGAAGCTGCTAAATCTGTCCTTCGCATCTGCCGAACTGTGGAGGTCACTATACAATGCACACTCAACGACAGATTCCATCCAGTTGTGACGTATTTAAAAAAGACGATGGAATCCATGCCCCAATTCCCAGGTCTGATAGCAGCTAGCAGCTAGGGGGATGTCAAGCTTGTCCCAGGCAGTGACACAAGTGGGGTGCCATCATCTCTCCATCGCTCCATGCCTAATCACCAACTGAGTTTGTTATGGTCTGACCTTGAAACTGCTGTGGCTGGCCAACTCTCTGCTATTTCCTGGTAAGCTTTGGAGATTTCCTGGTACTCAGCCCATCAAGTGGCTTGGCTGCTTCGGACCCAGTAACCTCTGAGCGATGGCCGAACGAACTTGACCTAAGTGTCTGAACTTGACCAATGTTTAAAGCCAAAAGTGGGCCATAATTTTTGACCAAGACCCGGATTGAGAAACGGCAAATCCGACCAGAATGATGCATGATTCTCACGAAGAATAGCTTCTGCAAGGGGATTGATACTTGTTCAAAATGGTCGGCACAAATCCCATGATTTTGACAGGGTTGTGGCTCACTTCAACCATCCATGAGACACGGACATTTTGTCACTGCCTTTTCTAAAGGTATTGTATAATGTCACGCACGGTGCAAACATGTGCTGGATTGTACCAGTAGTGCAATCCATGTGTGGATCCCCTTGAATTCAAGCCACGGGTGAAGCAACCTTGCGTAAACACGCGTAAACCCTATTTCAAGCCTACCCACTTTACCCCACTAAACTTCACTAGACCCCATGAAACCGACCGATCCAACATCAAATCACAACATGAAGCCAACCACAAACATCCACTTAAACATCCAGGAACAGAACGCAAACCACCAACAGACCAATAGACCAAGATAAACCAAGCTGTTGGGAAACTGAATCCAGTGGCTTCTTGGCTCTCCATAATGCCATAGTTCATAGGGAATATATCAGATACAACCACAGCTCCGTCTTGCTCGACCCGCTCCCTCCATTCACCACCGGCCGGAGAGTTAAATCAAGCACGCTGAAAAGCAACCCCCACAACTGATAGAAAGGTTAATTAAACCCAGTTCTAGTTTATAGTCTTCTAGTGACAACTCATGTTCACCACCGTTTCTGCATCTCTGGTTGCAAGACTAAACCAATAGCCTGGACCCGGCTTCAGTCCAGTTGCACACCTGCCCCTTGCGCATGACACGCTCCGGCAGCTTTGCCACGAAGCGTTCGGAAGCGCTTTGGAGATCCTGCCGGAGATGACCATGGACCATGGACTCATGGGCTCCAGTGGGAAAAGTTCAACATGGATATCCAACAAACATGGGATATTGGATATGAATGGGATATTTATGGAAAATTGAAAATATCCCAAGTTCAACATGGATATTCATTATAATCATAAGAAAATTGAAAAATCATTGGATATGAATGGGATATTGATATCCAACGTGGCTGTGCCTGAAGATTTTCGGGGTTAAGCATCAACAATAGGGACTTCATGGGATTTAGGGATTTATATCATGGGCAGGCATTTCATGGGATAAAAAGAAAAAATAACATCATTCTTTGGGTGTATCTGAAAATATGGCATAACAGCATAACCCCCAAAATAAAACGTGTGTATAATGCAGTGAGGAAAATGATGATCTGAATTCATCACATTTGATTTGAAAATTTGAGGGTCTCCTGATTTTCAGACACATGAAATCCCACCCAATACCCTCTGGTAAACTAACATAACTATGGAAAATCACCATTTTTAATGGGTAAATCCACTATAAATGGCCATTTTCAATAGCTATGTTAAATTACCAGAGGGTAAGAGAAACCTGACAGGCCATGGGCGGCCTTGGGCGCATGGATGGCTTGGCCAACCTCCGTGCGGAGTCGCTCACCGCCATCCGCCAGTTCGGAATCCTGGTTGGACTCCTCCAGACATGGTCCCAGAACTTGGCCCCGGCGTTTTGTTTTAGGAAAACTCGCGAAAACTCCAGAGATTTGGATTTGAAGGGTCCAAAACCCATAGGCTTCCGGTAGATTTTTCCGCCTCATCCCAATCCAGTGAAATGGATGATATACCCATGGGTAAGGGGTATGCAACCACACCCTATCTCGCGATTCGACCCCGAATCACGGCCCTGGTGCCTTCAACCAGTTTCTGAAGCTCAGCTTGGTGCGATTCACAGCTTTCAAAGCAACGCCATCAGGGTAGTCTTCTTTCAGTAGTCGCGGGATGAATCCATCTAGGAGGTCTCCTAGGTGACATCATGGCCCCTTGTTCTCTTCATCTTGCGACATCACACATGTAGTTTTCCTGAAAGTCTTGGGCCATGTTGAAACTGGAGATCAGTTTATATTTTTTGTATGTATATATATATACAGTATACCCTTCATATGTCAAGGCCATTCCAAAAAGTCGCAACCTTCGACTCCCAAGCATCGGAGCACATCTTGCGCAGCCGCTGTCTGGAACGCCATGAATCCATGAGGTCCCAATTTCAATCCTCTGCCAGCATCACATGACACGTCTCTTTCCTCCACTTTGATTGTGACAAACTGGGTACAATCTGTTCTCCAAATTCTTCGTATCCAGTGCTCTCTGCTCATTTTTTCCTATTTTTCATGTCTTGAAATACCAACATCCCTCCAAGCTCGAAAGTGCAACCAGGAAACCATCACTGAAGAAGGTCAGGGGCAAAGTTTCAACGGATCTTAGCCGAGCACAAAGTTTTGCCCCAGCATTTTCATGCACCACCTGCGCGCAGAAGTCTTTTCCAAATCACCAAAATGGCTAAGAATTACCATCGGCAATTAGAAAACAATGTTCCTCTTGAAGATTGGCAATTTTCAAGGTCTAAACTCTTAGTTGGGAGGATGGGAATCCATTTTCCCCCATCACTTCCCTCAATGGCCTTCGCCTCTCGGCCCAAGCTGTCATTGAGAGTCTCAATCCTGGACTCAATCACCTGGCGCGGCATCCAAAACAACATGAGGAAACAGTGGATCATCCTCCCCAACAAGCGGATGGAAAAAATTAAGAAAAGAGGATCATCCTACCGTAAATTTTCACCAAAGTGAAGAGGTTTCGCAAATTTTGAAGCGATCCAAAACATTTGTATTTTTCGCGCAAGGTGGCGGAACAAAAAAGTGCAGTTGGCGGGCGCCTGAAAATCCACAGCCAACCCAGTTTGCGCAGGTGAGCGTGGTGGCCAGTTCAGACCATAGTCCTTACCCGAACTGTGCATCTGAGGGTTTGGAAATACAGGTGCGTTTATGTTTTATTTGCATTCGTTTATTATAAGTATTATATGTACATATGTATCTTTGTAAA